TGTGTGGAATACGCATGCTATCCATGTTGTGGTAAAAAATTAGCACAGTGCACTTAAAAAATACCTTGGGGGGGCACAGTTGGCAAAAAAATTAAAGTATAAGATGAGCCTTATTTGCATAAAAATACAGTACTTAATAAGCCCTCTCCAGCAACCCTATAGAAAATTTCACCCTCTCCCCACAGTTCCTCCTTCCATGCTTCTTTTTTACTCATTAGCATCTATCACTATCTAATACATTCTGTATTATACTAATTTTATCTTATTTATGCTCATTTCTCCCCACTAGAATGGAAGCACCGCAACAGGAGGGTTTTGTGAGTCTAGTCTGTGCCCAGTATACCAAAACCAGTTGCTGTAGTTGACTCTGAATCATGGTGACCCTAAGTGTGTCAGAGTAGAACTGTGCTCCATAGGGTTTTCAATGGCTGATTTTCTTAAGTAGATCATTAGGCTACTCCCCATACCCCAAGGCGCTCCCAGGTGGTCTTGAACCTTCAAACTTTTGGTTAGCAGCACTGTTTGTACCACCCATAGTATGTGCTTAATAAATTTTTGTTGAATGAAAAATGAGTAAATTTGATACTCATAATGACTATACTTTGAGCAAGCTGAGCATAATCTCCATTTTACAGATGAGAAAACTGAGTCCCTGTGAGGTAATAAATTAGAAAGTCATATTCAAATCCACATATTCTGGTTTTTATGACTTTTATACTTTCCACCCTATCAGCAATGCCCTTAGACTTGGCTAGCAGGGCTCCTTCCCTGGACCCCACGTTAGAATGCCTCACTGTAGGCCTTTTCTGGCTATAACCCTTTCATGAAATGGAATCTCCAGGCCACTAGGAGCTTGCTTTGCCTCTACCAGATAATGTTGCAGGCACCTGGGGCTCTGGAATTCTCTGCCCAATTAGTCCTGAGTTTGCTGACAACATCTGCATTGACTTCTTTCTGAGATCTGTCTCTGGCCCTTGATCTGGGCCTGAGAGATGGTCAAAGGTGGTTGTTTATGGGAGATATGGATAGAGCTTGAAAATGCAGGTTTCCTGTATGAGGCTCCTACTGGCATGGAATGGAGTCAAGAGCAGAAGGGAAGGGATGCAGACTAGAGAAGAATGAGAATATGGACGTCAAATGAAAAATATAATAATTGAAATTTTAAAATGCAATGCATACATTAAACAGTAACATCTGAAAAAGAATCAATGAACTAAAAGATAAATGCAACACAGGGAGACTGGGAAGTGGAAAATATAAATGAGAGTGAATAAATATGGGGAATGGAGTTGAGAAGATCTAGAGTTCCAGAAAGAGTTAGTAGAAAGAATGAAAAAGATACTATATTCACTGACAATGGATAATTCTCTAGAATCATTCAAAGATACTTATTCTCAGCTTCAAGAATCCCCAAGAATCCTGTCTTATCTAGTATTACTGTAACAGAAATACCACAAGTCAATGGCTTTCACAAACAGAAATTTATTTTCTCACAGTTTCAACGTGCTGCTGTCCAGTTGGATCCGATTCATAGCAACCCCTCCTTGGGTTTCCAAGGCAGTAGACTGCCCAACCTTCTTTCTGAGGAGTGGCTGGTGGGTTTGAACCACGAGCCTTCTAGTTAGCAGTCAAGTGCCTTAAGCACTATGCCACCAGAGCTCCCTTTCACAGTTTAAGAGGCTAGAAATCTGAGTTCAGAGGACTGGTTCTAGGGAAAGGCTTATCTCTTTGTGCTTCTTGGTCCTAGGAAGATCCCAGCACAGGGACCTTGGGTCCAAAGGATGTGCTCTTTTCCTGGCTCTTCTTTCCTGGTGGTAGTAGGTCCCCTTTCTCTGCTCACTTCTCTATCTCTTATAAAAGGTGTTATAAACAATACCCCAGAGAAACCACCCTTACATGGGATCAGGGCTATGATGGGATTAAGAGTGTTGCATCCACGCTAATTCTGTTATAACTGATCAGCTTATTACATAAGATTACATCTAAGCAATCATTACAAAACTGCCACATGACATTAGTACATAACTCTCAAACCAATAAGAATCATGGCCCAGCCAAGTTGACACACAATTTGGGGACACACACTTCAAATCATGATAATCTCCTACAGGACAAAAAAGAAAAGACATATATATGTATATAATAAAGATACAGAGATGATCTTAAAAATATCCAGAAAACACATACATACACACATACACATCACTTACAAAAAGAACTTGATGGCTAATTTCTCAAGACATCAACAAAACAGAAGACAAAATAACAATGGAGTAAGATTCATGATACGCTGACAAAAATTCTGTACCCTGAAAAGCTGTTTTTCAAAAATAAGAATGAAATATAACCATATTCAGACAAAAACTAAGAGTTTACCAACAATGGATTATCACCAAATGAAATGATAATGTCCACACATCAGGGAAGAAGAAAATGATCCCAGCTGGAGGGAATATGTGATTTGTAAAAAGGAGTAGTTGGCAAAGATATTGCTAAATATTTGAGCAAAAAGAAACAAATGCTGTCTGTATAAAACAATGATTGGTGTAATATTTTAAAAATTCATATATATGATCATGTATAAAATACAGAAAGTGTTGTTGTTTTGTTGTCATGTGCTGTCGAGTCAGACCCGACTCATAGAGACCCCTCCTTGGGTTTCTGAGGCAGTATCACTATGGAAGTAGATTGCCCCATCTTCCTTCTGAGGAGTGGCTGGTGGGTTTGAACTGCCAGCCTTCTAGTTAGCAATCAAGTGCCTTAGGCACTATGCTACAGTATCAGAGCAGAGTAGTTTAGAACAGTTAGGGGAGACAAACTTGTCTGTCAGTTTGTCCTACTGTGGGGGCTTGAGTGTTGCTGTGAGGCTGGAGGCTATGCCACTGGTGTTACAAATGCTGGCAGGGCAACCCATGGTGGACAGGTTTCAGCGGAGCTTCCAGACTAAGACAGATTCAGAAAAAGGAAGAGACCATCCACTTCTCAAAGAATTGGCCGTGAAAACCTTATGAATAGCATTGAAACACTGTCTGATGTATTACCGGAAAACTTTATGAATAGCCCTGAAACATTGTGTGATATAGTGCCAGAAGATGAGCCCCTCAGGGTGGAAGGCACTCAATACATGACTGGAAAGAGCTACCTCCTCAGAGTAGAGCTGACCTTAATGATGTGGATGGAGTAAAGCTTTCAGGACCTCCATTTGCTGATGTGTCATGTCTCAAAATAAGAAACAGATGCAAACATCCATTAATAATCAGAACATGGAATGTATGAAGTATGAATCTAGGAAAATTGGAAGTTGTCAAAAATGAAATGGAATGCATAAAGGCCTTAGTGAGCTGAAATGGAGTGGTTTTGGCCATTTTGAATCAGACAACCATATGATCTACTATGCCAGGAATATCATCCATGAAAAAAGCAAAAGGTCACTACAAAGACCAGAAAGGATGAAAAGACCAAAATGGATGTCAGAAGAGACTCTGAAACTTGCCCTTGGATGAAGAGTAGCTACAGTGGATGCAAGAATCAACAGGATAAAAGAGCTGAACAGAAGATTTCAAAGAGCAGCTTGAGAATACAAAGTCAATTATTATAATGAAATGTGCAAAGACCTGGAGTTAGAAAAGCAAAAGGGAAGAAGAACATGCTCAGCATTTCTCAAGTTGAAAGAACTGAAGAAAAAATTTAAGCCTTAAATTGCAATATTGAAAGATTCCATGGGCAATGTGTTGAACGACGCAGGAAACATCAAAAGAAGGTGGAAGGAATACACAGAGTCAGTGTACCAAAAAGAACTGGAAGATGATCATCCATTTCAGGAGGTGTCATATTCAAGAACCAATGGTACTGAAGGAAGAAGTCAAAGCTGCACTGAAGGAATTGGCAAAAAACAAGGCTGAAGGAACTGGAAGCAGCTGTCAAGGAATCTAATGACATTGCACTGGGCAAATTAGCGGCAAAAGACATCTTTAATGTGCCCCAAAACAAAGATGTCACTTTGAGGACTAAGGTGCACATGGCCCAAGCAAGCCATGGTATTTTCTATTACCTTATAAGAATACAAAAGCTGGACAATGAATAAGGAAGACTGAAGAAAACTGATGCCTTCAAATTATGGTGTTGGTGAAGTATACTGAATATACCATGGAATCCCAGAAGATTGAACAAATGTGTCTTGGAAGAAAGAAAACTAGAATATTCCTTAGAAGCAAGGCTGGTGAGACAGCATCTCACATACTTTGGACATGTTATCAGGAAGGATCAGTTCCAGGAGAAAGATATTATCCTTGATAAAGTAGAAGTCAGCAACAAAGAGGAAGACCCTCACCAAGATGGAGGACACAGTAGCTGCAACAATGGGCTCTAAAAAATAACAATTGTGAGAATTATGCAGGAGCAGACAGCACTTCATTCTGTTGGACATAGCGTCATTATGAGTCAGAACTGACTTGATGGAACCTAACAACGACAACAGGATTTTCTAGGCTTACATCTTTATAGAAGCAGATTGCCAAATCTTTTTTCTCTTGATAGACAACTCAAAAAGTGGCTCTGATGATGACAAAGACAATGATATTGAATATGCATGAAAATATGTTCTTGAAAATAACTATTTCATGATATTGAAGTGAAAAAGTACTTTAACATTATTTTATATGTGATTTTTAACTACATCTGTGAGTAGAGCCCTGGCAGCACAGTGGCCAAGCACTCAGCTGCTAACTGAAAGGTCAGCTGCTCCACAGGAGAAAGATTTGGCAGTCAGTGTGCTTCTGTAGTCTTGGAAACCTTATGGGGCAGTTCTACTTTGTGCTATATGGGCAATGAGCTGGAATTGATGGAAATGGGCTATATGTGATTAATCTATATGATAGACATTTATTTCCTCTATATTTCTGGAAAAAAGGTCAAATTGGCCAACAAAGTTCCTTTCCAGTCTTTGCGTCGTGATTACGCAGCATAAACAATTCATGTGTCAGGATGTTAAAGGGGGTTACCTGGAATGAATTTTTGCCATTTCTGATCCACATTGTACTTCACACAGTGATTTCCTGAAGGAAATATAATAGTCTGTTCATCAAAGTAGAAAATATTGTTGGTCACGTGAGCTCGAAGACCAAAAACATGTAGCGACTGAGCTAACACGGTGGACATGGTCCCGGGCAGAGTGCTGGTAAAGACCAAGAGCAGCTAACATGAGTGGAGGAACGCCCGTACCCGCCTCTAGGACACGCCCCCACGGCCCCGCCCCGTCTCTGAGATTCCCCCACACACACTCCCTACCGCGTGACTCTTTCTTCCCTCCTTTGCTTTGCTTCTTCGTGGCTTCTAGCTCTTCTGGATGACCCCAGCTACCCCTTCCCACTTTTCGCTTCTACTGTCTAGGTCACCAGGCCACGCAGGTACCTCTACGGATCTCAAGCAGCCCGGACACGTCCAAACACCTGAGCGGTTCCTATAGCAACGACAAACCGGAAGTGTGGGCCTGTAGCCGGAAGCGGAAGTCCCTATCAAAAAGTTAATATGGAGCTGTGAGTTGCTGTGCGGGTGCGTTTGGAGTCCACGTGGAGCGGCGGAGGGAGAGTAGGGTACTGAAAGCAGACAGCTGGGGCTTGAGCCCTTTTTCCAACCGAGCGGGCCTCGACGTATTCCGCTTCTGGTAGGTGTTTGGGCGTGCGTGCTGCGAATGGATACTCCTCCGGTCTCGGGTTCGGACTCCGATTCTGATGATTCTGTTGTCACAGACAGAGAGGTAGGTGTCATCCAGGCTCGCGAGGCTGGACACGGGAGAGCGTCCCTTACTTCTTTGGTCCTGACTGCCAGTTGTGTTCCTCAGTTGCAGGATGCATTCTCCCGAGGGCTTTTGAAACCAGGCCTCAATGTTGTGCTCGAGGGGCCGAAGAAAGCAACTAACAACGTGGTGAGCTGGGTCGCTGAATCGAGGGGGGCCCCGATATGGAGTGTGTACAAGGCACTGCTGTAGTTGGGAGACTGAATTCTTGCCCCACGGAAGGAACGTGCCCAGCACATTTTCACGAAGGTGAATGACATGCTAGATAGTGACGTGTTAGCGTTTTGTCCATTGATCTAGCCATTGGATTTAGGCTTGTAAGAGGTATCTCAGTGTATCCTTCTTATGAGCCCAATCTGTGGATTTCCTAGCCTGGCCTGAAGCAGTGTTTGGCTGAATTCAAGCGGGATCTGGAATGGGTTGAAAGGCTTGATGTTACCCTCGGTCCGGTGCCGGAAGTCCGTGAATCTCAGTCAGCTCCTCAGAACAAGGATCAGAAAGCTGTTGACCCAGAAGATGACTTCCAGCGGGAGATGAGCTTGTATGTTTGTTTTCCAGTGTGGGAGAAGTTGGGGACCCCCGTGCTAGAGAGTAGGGGAGAAGGAGTGAGCTAAAGGTTCTCAGTGCATTCAGCTTTTATATAACAAAAATTTGCTTGTGACTATATAAAAATTTATAATTGGCATTAGTTTTGAATGGTCATTTCCTTAAACCGCTAATTTATTTATTTATTTTTAGCAACATCCCTCCTTTAAAAAAAAAAAGGTGTACAGCTAAAATTTTTCGCAGATCCCAAATTTATGAAGTTTTATTAGTTTTTGTTTGTTTGTCTTTGCTGGTGGATGTCAGATTTTGAGAGTGCTCTGACATGGATAATGAGAGATGGTGAGAAGAAGGGTAAAGCCCCCTCCCTTATTGCATTTCACACTTTTATCTTATGTTCCCAGCTACCGCCAGGCCCAGGCTGCAGTGCTTGCAGTGTTACCCCGCCTGCATCAGCTCAAAGTCCCTACCAAGAGGCCCAATGATTATTTTGCAGAGATGGCCAAGTCTGATCAGCAGATGCAAAAGGTAAAAAGAGGAAAGTGTTTTTCTGGAAAGCCAGGGCTGTGTGTATTTAGCTGACAGGAGCTCTGGTTGTACAGTAATTAAGCACTTGGCTGCAAACCAGAAGGTCAAAGGTTCAAACCCACCAACCGTTCCATGGAAGAAAGATGTGGCAGTCTGCTTCTGTAAAGATTTACAGCCTTGGAAACCCAATGGGGGTCATTATGAATCAAAATCAGCTCAATGACAGTGGGTTTTATAATGTTTAAAGATAATAACTATAAGCACAATAATGGGAAATTGGTTTTAAAAGGATAGTTGCCTCTTCCAGAGATTGTCCATCTTAGACACATGCCATCATCACTAATTAGCTAAAGGTGGGGTTGATTTCCCCCTCCCCCCCAATTTAAGCAATTAAGGCAGGGACTGCAGTAAGAAATGGGGCTCCCTGAGGTAAAGATGGCCTTTTGTATTTCCTAGTTGGCACAGTCATAGCATGGTGTGTAGAAAGGACAACAGTTATTGGCCTGCTATTGCCAGTAAACAGTGCTATAACTTGTAGATAAGTTACTTCTCTCTGGGCCTCAGTTAACTCTTCTGTGAAATGAGGGTTAATTTCTAAAAGTCTATATATCGCAGACATAAAGTCATGTAGATTTTATTCTTCACTTCACTTTGGGAAGAAGAAAATTGCCAATATCTAATCTAAGATACATTTAAATATCTCCCTTGGGTCTCAAGCTGGGTTTTAGAGAGCTCTTGTCTTGGTGGTACCCAGGGGAACTAAGCTAGAGATGAACCCAGCTATACCTCTGTATGTTCACACCAACAAATAACTTCTTATCCCTTAACTGAAATGTGTGTATTTAAGGGAAGAGGCTAGGTACCTGGTATCTGTTTGTGTTTTCACTGTGTATATGGTGTATGGAAGAAGGGAACTGGAAGGATGTGTGCTGGTTTAACCTCAGCCTAAGGACAGGAGGGAAGAGGAGAAACTAGTCTTTCCTGGACTGCAAGGAGGTAGTTTTGTGTAATGGAACAAATATACTGGGGATGGGAAGGTTGCTTTCAAGTTTTGGCTTCACCGCTGAAACTTATAGCTGAAACTTTTAGTCTGTGGGACAGAATCCTAGCCTTCGGGCCTTATTATCCTCATGTGTGGAATATGAGGGTTAGACTTAATGATTTACAATGTTCTTTGAGCTCTGCTGTTGGTAGAGTTGAGAATATCTGTTCTCTGCTCTGGTTGTCTTAAGTAGCAGTCATCTCAGATTCAGATAAGATAAGCTGACAACATTTTCTATTTTAGATTCGACAGAAACTGCAGACTAAACAGGCCGCCATGGAGAAGTCTGAAAAGGCTAAGCAACTGCGAGCACTTAGGAAGTATGGAAAGAAGGTGAGAAGGAAAGTGTGCAGGGAACAGGAGGAGCTGGGCTTGGTTTGTCAGATCAGATTGTCTTGGTCTGATTTGGTTCCATGCCCTGTATGTGTTAGATCATGTATTTATTATTTCACAGTTGAATGTGTTTGCTTATACCCATGCACACAATCTTACCTTGATACTGGTGTGTTTCCAGAAACGTTGTAGTGACTGCTTGCGAGTCATTTACCTCTCTGGGCTTTAGTTTTCACATCTTTCAGTGAAGAATTGGGTCTAGATCAGTGGTTACCTCACAGCAAAATCATCTGGGGGAGATTTTTCAAAGCAGATTTCTAGACTTCAGAATCTCTGAGGATGTGTTTGTTTTCCTCCTTACCCCCAAAAGCACCCTAGGTGACTCTGATCTGCATCCTTATTTGGGACTTACCACCTAGAGGATTGTAAAGTCCATGTAAGGAACTGTCTTACTGGATTATCATCCAAGCTGAGAGGGAAAAAGTGGCACCTGTGTGTGCACTATGGATGTCTGAATTCTAACGTGAAACCAGATCAGGCATGCTATAAAACTCGTGATTTTCCTTTTTTATGTCATGGACCACCTCAGAAAGACGACGACAGGAATTAAAGTTAGGATTGTGGGTAGACGTGTGTAAGCAAAATCAGCATGGATGTTAAGACTTTGCCAGCATTTGGACGTAAACATTTGTGGAGCTCTTGTCTACATATGGAGTCATTTCGCTGATAAATCCCAAGCAGAGTAAGGGTAGGTTAGTGTCCTGTCCTCTGTGAAAGGTCAGCTGCAGATTTTTTTGTTTTTTTAATCTTGATGGGTCTCACAGGATAGATGAGATCACCTCAAAGACACAGGCATATTTAACATGATCTAATTTAGCAAGCAAATTATGGATAAATGTTCTGTAGAGTGGGAACTCCAGAACACTTAACTATGCCCATACAGAGTCTGTACATGGATCAAGAGGCAGTTGTTCGAATAAAATAAGGGGATACTGTATAGTTTAAAATTGCCAAAGAAGTGTAGCAGGTTATGTCCTTTCACTTTACTTTATTCAGTCTGTATGGTGAACAGATAATTTGAGAAGCTGGACAATAGGAAGAACATGGCATCAGGATGGGAGGAAGACTTGTTAACAATCTGCAATACATAGATGATACAAACTTGTTGAAAACAAAGTCATCTTGTAGATGAAGGTCAAACAATACAGCTTTCAGCATAGATTATGTCTGAAGGTAAAGAAAATGGAAATCCTACAGGTGGAATAAACAACATGATAAATGGAGGATGGAAATTGTCAATGATTTTATTCTACTTGTATGAGCAATCAATGTCTTTGGAAGCAGCAATCAGAAATCAAATGACATACTGCATTGGACAAACCTGCAAGAGACCTTTTTAAACTTTTAAAAAGCAAAGATGTCATTTTGATAATTAAAGGGCACCTGACCTAAGCTATGATCTTTTCATCCTTCTTGTATGCATGTGATGGGAGCTCTGGTAGCATAGTGCCTAAGGTATTTGACTGCTAACCAGAAGGCTGGTGCTTCAAACCCATCAGCCACTCCTTGGAAAGAAGATTGGGCAATGTACTTCTGTAGTGATACTGCCTTGGAAACCCAAGGAGGGGTTGCTATGAGTCGGATCCGACTGATGGCAGTGAGTTTGGTTTTTTTGGTTCATATGCATGCGAAAGCTGGACACATTTGAATTGTACTGTTGCAAAGAATATTGAATGTGTCATGATCTGCCTGAAGAATGACAAATCAGAAAGAAAACCATTGCTCTTTAGAATGAGGATGGCAAACATCATCTTGCTTACTTTGGACACATCATTGGAAAAGATTAATCACTAGAAAAGGACATCATGTTTGGTAAAGTAGCACCCCACAACAGGATAGATTGACACAGTAACCACAGTAGTGGACTCAGACGTGGACGCAGACATACCAGCTGAAGATGGCCCAGGATTAGGCAGTGTTTCATTGTATTCTGTATAAGATCGTCATGAGTCAGCTGACTGATGGCACCTGACATGAGTACAGCTTAGCAGAAACAAAAAGAAGACTCACAGTGGCCTATCAGTTTGCTGTCCACACCCCCCAACTGTTCAACTTACATATCTACTTACATAGCCATTTGTAAATTACTATTTTTTATTACTGTTACTGCAATTTTGTATGTGTAATAGTCTTTACTGTTTTTGCCTTTTAGCTTGTGTACCTCCCAGTTTCTTCCTTTACCTTGGTCGTGTTGTGCTCACCTCCCCCTTACTGTCTTGTGTCCTATCTAGTTAGTGATTTTTCCTCCCTCCCCCTCCATCCCTGGTAACCATTCAAAGATTGTTTTTTCTGTATGTAAACTTTTTCTTAACTTTTTACGGTAGTGATCTCACAATATTTTGCCTTTAGTGATTGCCTTACTTCATTCATCCATTCACTCTAGGTTCATCCATATTGTGAGATGTTTTGCCATTTCATCATCATTCTTTAAAGTTGCTTTATTCAATTGTGTGTACATACTGTAGTTTGTTTATCCATTCATCCATTGATGGCACATGGGTTGTTGCCATCTTTTTGCTATTGTGAATAATGCTACGATGAACGTGGATGTGCATATATCTGTTCATGTCACAGCTCTTATTTTACTAGGATATATACCTAGTAGTGGGATTGCTAAGAAGTTCTGGTGAGGCATTTGCTAACCAGAAGGTCAGCAGTTCAAACCCACCAGCTACTCCTACTGGGAGGAAGATGGGGCAATCTACTTCTGTAAAGATTACAGCCTCAGAAATCCACTGGGGGTTGCTATGAGTCAGAATCTACTTGATGGCAGTGAATTTCTTTTTTTTAAAGTGGAGTTCCTAGATCATACATTATTTCTTTCTAACTTTTTAAGGAAGCACCATACTGTTTTTCACCACATTGCAGTTCCTCCAGCAGCTTATAAGTGTTTGAATCTTTCCGTACCCTTGTTTTCATTTTTTTTTTTTTGGCCATTTTATGGCTGGAGTGACATGTTATTTCATTGTTGTTTTGATGTGTATCTCTCTAATGGCTTATGTCTTCAAAGTGACATTTTTGCTGTTTAGCACTTTGAAGAAGTCTTTTGCAGCAGATTTACTCAATACAATATGTTTAATTTCTTCACCACTAGTTTCGTAGACATTGATTGTGGACCCAAGTAAAATGAAATCCTTGACAACTTCAGTCTTTCCTCTGTTTATCATGATACTGCTTATTGGTCTAGTTGTGAAAAAGAGGAAGACCTTCAACAAGATGGATGGACACAGTGGCTGTAACAGTGGACTCAGACATAGCAGTGGTTGTGAGGATGGTGCGGGATTAGGCAGTATTTCGTTCTCTTGTACATAGGGTTGCTATGAGTCAACCAACTCAACAGCACCTATCAAAAGCAACAAGAACAATAGCTAATGATTTGAGCATCTCTTCGTGTATTTGTTGGCTACCTGAATGTCTTCTTTGTTGGAGTATGTGCTCATGTCCTTTGCTCATTTTTTAATTGGATTGTTTTACCTTTTTGTTGCTGAAATGTTTTCTATAAATTTTAGAGATTAGTCCTTTGTCAGATCATTGCCAAAAATTTTCTCCAAGTCTTGTAGGTTCTCTTTTTGCTCTTGGTACAGTCTTTTAATGCTCATAAGTGTTTAACTTTTAGGAGGTTCCAGTCATCTAATTTATTCTCTGCTGTTTGTGAATTTTTAGTTATGTTTGATAAGATTGTTTATGCCATAAATTAAGGCCCTTAATCCCCCTCCCCCATCTTTATAGTTTCAGATTTTACATTTAGGTCTTTGATCCATCTTGAGTTAGTTTTAGTGTGTGGTGGGAAATATGGGTCCTATTTCATATTTCTTTGAATGGATATCCAATTTTGCCAGCACCATTTTTGAAGACTATTCCTTCCTCATTTAATGGATTTTGGCTCTTTTCAGAGATATTCTTAGGTGATTGGATTTACTTCTTGGTTCTCAGTTCTATTCTGTTGGTCTGTGGGTCTACAACTGTATCAATAACAGTGCAGTTGGACTACAAGGGCTGTATAGTAGGTTCTGAGACTGGGAAGTGTGAGACCTCTTATTTTTTTCTTCTTTAGTAGTGGTTTGCTTATCTGGGGCTGTCCTTTCTGTATAATTTGTGGTTAGTTTTTCCATTTCTTTAAAGAATATTGATGGAATCTGGATCAGGATTGCATTATATCTATAGATCATTTTGGGTTGTTGTTGTTGTTGTTATGTGCCGTCGAGTCAAACCTGACTCATAGCGACCCCTCCTTGGGTTTCCGAGGCAGTATCACTACGGAAGTAGGATTGCCCAACCTTCGTTCCGAGGAGTGGTTGGTGGGTTTGAACCGCCAGCCGTCTGGTTAGCAGGCAAGTGTCTTAGCCACTATGCTACCAGATCTTAGATCATTTTGGGTAGTATTGACATTTTCACAATGTTATGTCTTTGTATCCTGAGGATGGTATATTGTTCCAGTTATGCAAGTCTCTTTTGGTTTCTTGCAATTGTGTTTTGTAGGTTTCTTTGTAAAAGTCTTTTCCATCCCTGGTTAAGTTTATTCCTAAGTATTTCATCATTTTGGTAGTTATGTAAATGGTATTGTTTTTCTGATTTCAGAGTTCTTTTTTTAGTGTAGAAAAATCTGATTTTTCTATGTTGATCTTGTACCCTGCCACTTTGCTAAATTCTATTAGTCCCATCAGCTTTCTTGTAGACTCTCTCTGACTTTCTCTGTATACGATTGTATCATCTGTAAATCGGGATACTTTTACTTCTTCCTTACTAATTTGGATGCCTTTTAATTTCCTGTCTTGCCTTACTGCTCTGGCAAAGATTTCCAATACAGTATTGAATAATAGCGGTGATAAAAGGGCATCCTTGTCTAGTTTCTGTTCTCAAGGGGAATGTTTTCAGTCTTTTCGTTGAGAACATTATTGGCTGTTGGTTTTGTGTGTCCTTAATTATGTTGAGGAATTTCCCTTTCATTTCTATTTTGCTGAGAGTCTTTATTAGGAAAGGTGTTGGATTTTATTAAATACCTTTTCTGCATCAGTTGATAGGATCATGCAGTTCTTTTCTGTTGAATTACATTGATTTTCGCATGTTGAGCCATCCTTGCGTTCCTGATATGAATCCCATTTGGACATAATAAATTGTTATTTTGATATGGTGTTAGATTCTCTTGGCTAGGATTTTGTTGAGAGTTCTTGCATCTGTATTCATGAGGGATATTGGTCTATAATTTCTTTTTTATTTTTTTTTCTGTTGGTATCTTTGGCCAGCTTTGGTATCAAGGTTATGTTTGATTCATAGAATGAATTTGGGAGTATTTCATTCTTTTCCATGCTCTGGAATGGGTTTTAGTAGTATTGGTGTCAGCTGTTCTCTGAATGTTTGGTGGAATTCTCCAGAGAAACCATCTGGACTGGGGGGTTTTGTTTGTTTGTTTGTTTTCTGGGAGGATTTTTTTTTTTAATGACCTCTTCAATTTCTTCTCTGTAATGGATCTGTTCAAAATTTTTACCTCAGTCTGTTAGTTTAGCTAGTCAGTGTGTTTCTAGAAATTTGTCCATTTCTTGTAGGTTTCCAAATTTGTTGGAGTACAATTCTTCATAGTGTTCTATTATAGTCCTTTTTATTTAAATTGGTTCTGTTGTAATATCACCCATTTCATTATTTATTTATAGTTTTTACAGCTTCTTCCTCTATTCCTTTGTTAATTTGAGCAGGAGTTTGTTAATTTTATTAATCCTTTCAAAGAACTAACTTCTAGTCTTTTTGATTCTTTCTGTTGTTTTCTGTTTCATTTACTTCTATTCTAATCTTCATCATTTTTCTTTCTTCTGGTGACTGTGGGCTTTTTCTTGCTTTTCTTTTTCTGTATGTTGGGGTTGTAGGGTTAAGGTGTTTATTTTGGCTCTCTCTTCTTTCTGACGTGTGTGTTTATTGCTATACATTGTCTCTGAACACTGCTTTTGCTGTGTCCCAAAGGTTTTGGTGTGTTTTCATTTGCATTAGATTCCAGGAATTTTTTGGTATCATGTTTTATTTCTTATATTACTCAGTGGTTTTTAAGCAGGATGTCATTCACTTTCCATATATTTGATTTTTTTTCTTAATTTTCCTATTTCTGATTTCTAATTTTACAGCACTGTGATCCCGGAAGATGCTTTGTATTATTTTGTTGTTTTTGAATTTATTGATGCTTACTTTGTCCTAACATACGGTCTATTCTGGGTACACACTGGAAAAGAATGCATGTTGTGATGTTGGGTGGAGTGTTTTGTATTATCTATGAGGTCAGATTGGTTGATTGTGTTGTTTAGATCATCTCTATCTTTGTATAGTTTCTTTCTAGTTCTGTCTTTCATTGAAAGTGATGTATTCAAGTTTCTTACTATTGTGGAACTGTTTCTCATTTCATTTCTGTTAAAGTTTGTTTTATGTATTTTGAGGCTCATTGGGTGCATAGATATTTTTTATAGTTATGTTCTTTTATTGAATTAACCCTTTTATCATTATATAATACCCTTCCTTATCTCTTATACTGACTTTTGCCTTAAAGTCTATTTTATCAGAGACTAATATTTCCCCTCTTGCTCTGTTTTGGTTGCCGTTTGCTTGGTATTAGTTCATTATTTCTAATTTTAGGAAACCTTGGAGCAGTGGTTCTTAGATTTGTGGAGACATTTTTGGGTGTTACCACTGTGTGCTACTGACATCTAGTGGATAGAAGCCAGGAATGCTGCTAAACATCCTACAATGCACTGGTCTCTGCAGCAAAGAAGCCTCCTTTCTGAAATGTTAATAATGCTGAAAAAGTTTTTTTTTTTTCCATCATTGTGTTTTGGGGAGGTTGTTTGGTTTTTCTCATATCTTTTGATACTTTCCTAGCTAGTAATAGCAGAGAGGATATTTAATCTGTTTGAATTAATAGGGAATTTGGACGTCAAATAAACATGATTTGCTGTAATTTGGTAAATGTATATTGAATAATAGGATGAAAATGTAGGCTGTGAATCTTAGCTCTGCACTTGCTATGTTACTTGGGCCAGCTACCTATCTGTGCCTGAGTTTAGCGGACAATAAATATTTTCACTTCACTGGGTTATTACAAAGATAGACTGAGAATATGCTTGGAAAGCCCTTAATATAATTTTTGGTACATAGTAAATGTGCATCGGCAGTGGTATTAATCACAGTGTTGTTATTGAGAGAATGTAGGCACTTAGAGCAATGATTTGAAGTACGTGTAACTGTCCTTTGTCCATATTACAGGTACAAACAGAGGTTCTTCAGAAGAGGCAGCGAGAGAAAGCACATATGATGAATGCCATTAAGAAATATCAGAAAGGTCAGCATAATTCTGTCCTAAGGGTATAGGGAGCACAAGGGTACCTTAGAGTTAATTCTAATGCATTATGCTTTGAATCTATTGGACCTAAGGTTTGAGTAGTGTGGGGAGCAAGACATGACTCTTAATATTAGTTTAGTAAGTAACAACCTTATTTTGAGGTCTAAACTGTTCTTAAAATGTGATGGTGCTGATCAGCATACTTCTTCATTCACAGGCTTCTCTGATAAATTAGATTTCCTTGAGGGAGATCAGAAACCTGTTGCCCGGGGCACGAAAGAAAAACCTAAAGGCCAGCAGATGAAGAAGGGGTGAGAAGGTTTTGGTTTTGTTTTTACTTTGTTTGATGGTAATTAATGAGCTGGTCTTCATGAGTACGTAGGCTACCTCTTCAAAGAGCAGTCTCAGAGTCAAGACCAAGAATCCTAGCACTATGGCATTGATTTTAGTAATACCAGTCTTTAAAGATTAAATAAGGTAGCTTTATGTCTGGCACATTTTAAGTGAATGCTTAGTAATAGTTGACTCCTTCTCACATCATGTCACGATGACTTAGAGTTCAAATCCTGACTGCCACTCATTAGGACCTTCTTAAATGCTCATTTCTTTTTTTTTTTTTTTAATTAGGATTTGGGTGAAGATTTACAGAGTAAATTCACTTTTCATACAGCAGTTCACATATACTTTGTCTCATGTCATTGACCAAAATTTACAATGCAGCAGCTCCCCTCCCACTTCCTCCCCATAGTTACCTCCTCCCAGTGTCCATCCCTTCATACTCTTCGAAATGCTCATTTCTTTATTGATGATGTGATAATGTTGCTTTTTTTTTTTTTTGAGTCCACTGTTGAGTCTGTTGTGCTAATACATCTTGTCGGGGGTTTCCCTCATTTTTGCTGACCCTCTACTTTATGAAACATGATATGCTTACCTTGCAAAATCCTTCCTGGTAACGTGTCCAGAGTAAGTGAGGTACTTCTTACCATCCTTACCTCTAAGGAATATTCTGATGTATGTCTTCTAGGACTGATTTGTTCGTTTTTCAGGCAGTCCACAGTATATTCAATATTTTGTACAGCCAAAAATTTAAGTGTTTGAAAGTGTTCTATAGATGCATACACAAAATGGTTGCAAGCCACTAATCTATCCTAACAGAGTCAGTTAGGCTGTGACATACATACACACAGAGACAAACACACACACATACTTTTAGCTATTGTTTCCTATTCTTTATGATTGTATTCAAATTTGGCTGCCTTTTTTTTTGTTTCTTTTTCTTTTTTTATTTTAAGAGCTTGTTTTACATTCAACGTAATGTGTACCTTTAGTTTCATTCCCCATTTGCCATGTCCATAATGTTACATATTATTGTTCGTTTTTGTTTACCTTTATCCACACCTAGACACCTGGCCTGAGGGAAATGTTAATGTCCATGCAATGTTCACTCACTAGTCACTTATTGACATAGTTAGTTTCTAAAAACCAGTACATTATAGGAAAATTAGTTTTATGCAAAAATAGAGGACAGCCACATCAGATCATGAAATGGGGGTGATTAGGTCGTTACATAAATGCCAAATTACATTATACACAACTACCAAATTATAACATAACTGCCAGATTACATCATTACATATCTGCCAAACCACTGAGAATCGTGGCCTAGCCAAGTTGACACATAATCTTAACCATCACAACCAGCGTTACTCTTGCTTCATACGTTGGCATTTGATACTGCCAGGCGTATGTCGTTAATACACAGAATAGTCATGTGGATTTTTTACTGTTTTTGTAGATGTAAAGTGTAGGATGAGATGAACAGTAAATGAGGAGTAGGTGTAGTAAATGATATGCTAGAGGCATTTAAAGAGTAGTATGGAAGCCCAGGCGTCTCTGGATTGCAAACAGTGACTGCATTTAGCCACTGACCGAAAGGTTGGAGGTTCGAGTTCATCCAGAGGTGCCTTAGAAGAAAGGCCTGGTGATCTCCTTCTGGAAAATCAGCCACTGAAAACCCTGTGGAGCACAGGTCTACTCTGACGCACACGGGGTCATTGTGAGTTGGAGTTGACTGGATGACAACTGAGCTAGGTCTGAGGGATGAGTAACAATGAATCAGAGGAATAGGAGATCAGCAGGTTTCAGGAAGAAGGAAGACTATGGATGAGGAAAGGCATAGAGATGTGAAGCAGCAGGTATATGTGAGGAGCGGCAAATGTTTGGTGTTACTGGGAATGTGAGGCAAGGACTGGTGACGTGGTTGGAGAGGGAGCTGAGCCAAGTCAGAGGCAGGCAATATTTGCTTGCCCTATTGAGGAGCTTGGACTTTGTCCTCTAGGCAGAGAGGAGACAGTGATGGCTTTTACTCAAAATAATGAGCAGGTCATATTCTCATTCTAAGATGATTGTGCTGATACTTGTGTGAATAATGATGTATTGGAGAAAGATAGGGAAGTTGATTAGGGGACTATTTGGAAAGTCCAGATGAGTGGTGATAATGGCTTGAAACGGGGATAGGGAGAGAGAAGAGAAAGTAGACCGGAGAAATGTTCAGGAGGTTACATTAGTAGAGATCAGTAATTGAACTGGGTGTAGAGAATGAAGGAAGGAAGAAGCAAGACTGACTCCCGGGTTTCTGGCCTGGGTGGGCTACATGGCGAACAGTGGTACCACCAACTCCAAGTGAGGGCAGATGCACAGCAGATGGAATCAGTCTCGGAAGGGAAGTGGCAAGTCACTTTTGGATATGTTGAATTTGAAATTACTGTGGGATGACCAGGAGCTCTGGTAGCATAGTGCCTAAGGCATTTGAATGCTAACCAGAAGGCTGGCGGTTCAAACCCACCAGCCACTCCTCAGAAGGAAGGTTGGGCAATCTACTTCCGTAGTGATACCGCCTCGGAAACTCATGGAGGGGTTGCTGTGAGTCGGGTCTGACTCAATTGCACATAACAACAACAACAACATGGGATGACCAGTTTTAAAATTTATTACCTTTGAGTATTAACTTCATGAATAGAAATTTTTCTCTATGTATATTCTTCAGAGAAATTGAAAGCACTGAGGCTGATTTAGCAAGGTTTTGTTAAAAATAGAAGGCTTCCTAACAAGTAGTAAGCCTCATGAGTATGTGGATCCTTTCCTGCTTCTTGCTTTGTTCATTTCTCTACTCTGGTAGTTAAACCTGTGAGTAGATGAGCTTGCTGAGGGAGTTTGTGGTGTAAGAATGTAGGGTGGAGGATGAGACTCTGGGCAATATTAGTATTTAAAGAGCTTTGCTCTCAGAAAGGAATTGAGGATATTGTTGGACCATAGGTTTCTTTGGATCTGCAGTGTTGTGGGTAACCTTTAGGACCACTCTTTTTCCAGGCCCAATGCCAAAAGACGCTATAAAAACCAGAAGTTTGGTTTTGGTGGAAAGAAGAAAGGCTCCAAGTGGAATACCCGTGAGAGCTATGATGATGTATCCAGCTTTCGGGCCAAGACAGCTCATGGCAAGGGTCCCAAGAGGCCTGGAAAGAAGGGATCAAATGTAAGTGAGCCAGGGGGCCCAGGTGGGGCCAGGATCAGCCTCCTCTCCCACCCCACACCTACCCTCTCCCTTTCTTGGGGTATGCATTCTGACCCTGGGGCCAAAAGCCAAGCTGCTATATGACAGGGAAATCAATTAGGGGACTATTTGGGAAGTCCAGATAAGCTGTGCTAATGGCCTGGAATGGTAATGGGGAGGAAGTAGGCTATATGACCAGATATGGTGTTTCTATTTCTGCAGAAGAGACCTGGGAAACGAACAAGAGAGAAAATGAAGAACAGAGCACGTTAAGCAGCATCTTTGTTTATAAAGAACCAAGAAAAGAAGAGGTGGAGACTTGAAATTTCACAGTACTATCAGATCCCTTTTGTTGGTTTCTTTTTGTAAAAAAAATTCTTTAAATAAACTAAAGAAAAAAATTATCAAAGCAACACATACTGTTGGTTTAAAACCCAATTAGAACTAAAAGATTTAGATGTTACTTTTGCACACTAAATATTATTGCTGTTTATTGATGATAATTTAGACTTGACTTTTTATAAGGAGCTCTGGTGGTGCAGTGCCTAAGGCATTTGATTGCTAACCAGGAGGTTGGTAGTTCAATCCCCCTAGCTGCTCTACAGAGGGAAGATGGGTCAATCTACTTCATAAAGATTTACTGCCTCGGAAACCTGATGGGAGTTGCTATGAGTCAGAACTGACTTTAGGGCAGTGGGCCTCTTTTTATGATAGAACAGGATCCTCACTTCTTTTTCGCCATTTCTCCAGATAGTTACCTTGTGATTTAAATCAGTAACCAATGTTTATAATGTTGTTGTTGTTATGTGCCGTCAAGTCAGACCTGACTCACAGCGACCCTTCCTTGGGTTTCCAAGGCAGTATCAGTACGGAAGTAGATTGCCAACCTTCCTTCCGAGGAGTGGCTGATGGATTTGAACCACCAGCCTTCTGGTTAGCAGTCAAGTGCCTTAGGTACTACACTAAATACTAGTTACTGTAGAGTTAGTTCCCTGGGTGGCACAAAGAGTTTTACACTTGGCTGTTAACCATAATGTAGGCTGTTTGAACCTATCCAGTGGCACTGTGGAAGAAAGGCCTGACAGTCTGCTTCCATAAAGACTACAGCCAAGAAAACCCTATGGCGGTCAGTTCTAGTTGGTAACATATGGAGCCACCATGAGTCTGAGTCAACTTGGCTGGAACACATTTGGATTTTTTTGGTTTATTGTAGAGCCAGCTCTACTGTGTAAGATTTCCTTTGTGGTACAGCTTTTGATTATTCCTTGAACTAATAACCACCTTACATTTTTTTACTTGACTAATTTTCCTTTGAGATCCTTATTGTCTTCCAGATGGCATCATCATTTTATCCACCTTATAATCTTCCTGCTACAACCTAGGTCTGCTATACAGCTATCAACTCTGTCTCTTTTCTAGACTTAGATTGAATCCATTTATCTTCTGGATCCCATATTTTTCTGTCTTAGCTTATGCTTTCTTGCACTGGACAACATTTTCTAGTATCCTCTTAAGAAAGAGAAAAGAAGAGGTAAATTTTTATCTCCTCACATTTCTGAAATTGCTTTTATTCTGTTCTCATTCATTTCTGTTTAAGGAAAGAGACCTGCAGGGTACAATGATGGCTTTTTATTTTTTATTTTTTATTTTTATTTTTTATTCTGTTCTCATTCATTTCTGTTTAAGGAAAGAAACCTGCAGGGTACAATGATGGCTTCCAAAGCTAATGATCTTGTGATAAAAAGGAATCACGGACCTAATCTATTTTACAGTTTACGCTGGATCATAAAATTAGACTCCTCTGTATATTGGCTAATCCATTTTTATACTCCTTCCCACTGTAAGCATCCATGATAGTGAATTCAAGTGTGATTATAATAGGTATATTCTCCAAGTTAAAGACTGAATGCAAAACGGAATCTTCCAGGATCTTTCGGTATAAGATGTTTAAGTAGAAGTCGTTTGAACTTGAAATGTGTACATTTGTATTAACTTTCTTGGGTAATTCAGAAAGGATGTCTGCCATTCTCTTTAATGATACCTACTATACTTCTTGTTGAATTGACCCCAGCATTAGGTAATGTATGCTCACATAGTTTTGCTGTGATCATGCCAGGGAAAAAAGGCTATTTTCAGCCAACAGAAATGGAAAAAACAGATAGGAGACATACCTAAGAGTTATGCATCTGTTGACAAGAAGACTATTTCCAACAGATGTGTAAATGGAAAACCCTTTCTGCTGCGTGCAAGCAACACAAAACATTTGTGTTAGGCACCAGAGACGTGATGTGCCTGGTTGTGTGAGTGTTAAGTGGGACTACCTGCAGACTCCCTAAGAGTGGCCGTGGTCAGTTCTCTGCTTCACCCTACTTGGTCTTAGAGTCCTGAACCTTTCTCTAGGATTTATGGGCTCTGTGTTCGGAGGTATCCCATTCCACATGCATTCTGTGGTTTCCTCCACCCGCCTGTATCAGCTTTCCATGTTCTAAGCAAGCTTTATTTTCATGTTTCTCTCCCATCTTCTTGGTACTTGTGCATCAAAACCTATTTTAATCCTTTATTGTTTTTGTATTGGGGTCTGAGAAGGCAAAGGAGGTAGTGGTATGTACTTAGTCTACCATCTTTAATTGGAAACCTCTCACTGGTTAAAAAGATTAAGGATTTGAACCAATGGACTTGGGCAAAAATGAGAGAAGCAAGAGACTTAGGAAAAGTCAGACTTAAATTTTAAAGTAATATTTATTGATCTGGGCAGCACCACTTTGGGCATGGAATACAAGGATTGACAGCACTGCTGGAATGCTACTTGCGGTCATAGTCTTCTCCCAGGCTCCACATTTTCGCCTTGTACAGAGTGATGTCATTGTAGACCCTGAAGTGGTTCAGCCTGCGGTCATCATGGTCTGGGTTGACCTATGGGAGAATGCTGGAATCAGAAAGGGGCCTGTAGAGAAGGAAGAAAACCTAAGCTTGGAGTCAGATGGATCTGGGCTTAAATTAGGCCCCACCTTCTTGATGTATAAGGAGCTCTGGTGGCACAGTACCTAAGGCATTTGACTGCTAACCAGAAGATTGGTGGTTTAAACCTATCAGCCACTCCGTGGAAGGAAGATGGGACAATTTACTTCTGTAAAGATTTACTGCCATGGAAACCCAACGGAGGTGGCTGTGAGTCAGAATCAACTTGATGGCAGTGAGTTTTTGATTTCCTGATGTGTGGTTCCAGCCATGTTCTTTTTCTTAACCTCTGATTTATGAAACAGCAATATCTAGCTTAAAAGAGTTGTGAGGATTGAATGAGAATAACCTATGTAAAATACCTTCCCAGAGCCTTGGCCTTTCCTGCTGCCTCTGGCTTCTTTTATCCTACTATAATGTAAGTTCTGGAAAGGTAAAACCCATTGCAATGGAGTCAACTGAGGACGACCCTATGTGAGTCAGAGTAGAACAGTTTTCAGTGGCTGATTTTTTGGGAAGTGGATTGCCAGATGTTTCTTCCAAGGCACCTGTGGGTGGACTCAGACTTCTAACCCTTTGGGTAGCAGCTGAGTATACTAACCATTTGCACCACCCAGGGACTTCCGCCAGGGTAGGTGCTCTGCTTTAGTCACTGCTGTATCCTCAGCACCTAGAGCAATATCCAGAACACACTAGGTACTCAGTATATACTGTTGAATGAAAGAATGAATGTTGCTGAAATTGTTAAACAGAGGCGTATGTAAAAGTGGGCACTCTGATACACAAATCCTATAGAAACTATAAACTTAAAGGATATATTTTCGGCCAGTGTTGCTAGGAGACGAGGCTGGGAAGTATTTGTTGAGTGTGGCTTCTCCAGTGTCCTAGAATCGGGGTTGGGGGTGATGGTACTCTGCCTGTGTGGGGTGAGGTCCTGCCGGGGGTCATGGAGCACCAGGTTGAGGATGATCAAGCCTCTTCAGCCCCAACCACATTACTTTGAAACTCCAGCTTAATTGCTGTTTTTTTGTTCTTAAACTTGATTTGGGTGAAAGTTTACAGAGCAAATTCATTTTCCACACAATAGTTCATATACATTTTGTTTCATGACATTGATTGGTATCCCCATAATGTAACAACTCTTGCCACTTCCTCTCTGATTACCTTTTCCCTGTGTTTTTTCCTATGCTTTCCTGTCCCCTGAGCTATCTGCCTGTGCAAATACTGCCCTTTTGTCTCACATGGTTGATTGTTCTAAGGAGTGTACCCAACTGGTGTAAAGTTTAATTAACTTTTATGGTTGCACAAACACTTGGGTCTAACTTTTTGTGTGTGTGTGATTTGGGTGAAAGTATACAGAGCAAATTCACTTTCCATAGAGCAGTTCACATACACTTTGTCTCATGACATTGACTACAATGTACCCCAATGAAACAGCTCCCCTCCCACTTCCTCCCGATAGTTACCTCTTCTGTGTGTCCTTCCCTCCATGCACTCCTGCCCCCTGAGCTGTCTCCTTGTGCATACATAGCCCTTCTATTCTCCCATGATTGTTCTCTCCAAGAGAGAGAGTGTATCTGCCTAGTGTAAATGTTCACCTCATTTGCCTGTCTTTTGTTTGGCTGGAAGCCACAGGTGTGGGTTCAATTCCAGACCTGAAGGGCAGCCAGGGGCCATAGTCTCAGTGGTTCCATCAGGCTCTATCAGACCAGCAAACCTGGTCCTTTTTTTTTTTTTATTTTTGAGTTCCACATTATTCTCCTACTCTATCTAGGATCTCCTACATAGATCCCCCTGAGTGGTTGACATTGGTAGCTGAGTACCATCTAGTTCTTTTGGTCTCATAGTCCTATAGGCTGAGGATTGCATGGTGTACCAGTTCCTGGGACTAATTGTTTCCATGAATCTTTCGTTTTCATCATTCTTCTTTGCTCTGGACAAGGAGAAACCCATTGTTACATCTAGATAGCTGCTTGCAAGCTTTTATGATCCCAGTTGTTACTTGCCAAAGTAGGAGGTGGAACAATGTTTTGTGCAGTATGTTATGCCAATTGAACTTGATGTCTCCTGTGACTATGGTCCGGAGCTGGCAGGTTCAATTACTTGCTCCTTCTGGGTAGCTGGCTGTGACCAAGAAGTGACTACGACCTTGTTCCTTGTCAGCTCTACTATACCACTGGGAATTCTTCCAGAACATATCAATACACTTGTAGAGAAATTGTCTGCCAATTGGGTCTAACATTTTTGGGTATGCTTTCTTAGTATGCCACTAGTACCGTCTGATGGCACCGCTTACAATGATGAGCAAAACAACCACTTGTTGAGTGGCCCCGTGTGTGTCAAAGTAGAACTGTACACCATAGGGTTCTCGGGCTGATTTATTTGGAAGTCAATCACCAGGCGTTTCCCTTAAAGCACCTCTGGGTGGTCTTGAATCTCCTTTCGGTTTGCAGCTGAGCATCACCATTTGCACCATCCAGCAGGCATGGGACGTTTGCAGAGCCTTTGCAACTCCATAGGAGCTCTAGTGAGGTAGTGCCTAAGGCATTTGACTACTAATCAGAATGTGGCGGTTCAAACCCACCAGCCACTCCTCAAAAGGAAGATGGGGCAATCTACTTCTGTAGTGATACCGCCTTGGAAACCCAAGGAGGGTTCACAATGAGTCAGATCGATGGCAGTGAGAGTGGTTTTTTTGGTTTTGCAACTCCATAGTGATGACTGGTCTGTGGCATGTGCATTTCATTATCTGCAAGGCCTAGGAGAGTGAGAGAGGGCAGGCCCAGCAGGGATCAGCTCTACTTGTCCTTCCTGTCATGCCATGGTGAGTCTTGCATGACGCATGTTGGAGGGTCAAAGACAACATTTCCCCATTTGCACTCTTTGTACTCATGGGCGCCAGGTCTGTACTCTTCACGAAAATGAATAATGAGCTCAATTACTAAAGCTCTGTAGTATTTTTCTGAGTTGCTTAATAAACTAACTTGGGTGATTTTTATTTTCACTCCACCAACCTCCTTCTTCCTTCCCTTATTCACTACATGTTAGAACCTTGTGGTGCAGTGAATCACCTTTATGTGGCCTTTCTAGCTGTAGAAATGATTGGCTAGGACTGTGCAAATAAGGTGCATAAAAGACTCTTGCAGGGATCAGACAGCTTATTATGCAAATAAGGTGACTATGGCCTACCAAGGGGATTGGTTAGTTTTGTTATCTTGCTTGGTTAGTAAGGCCTTATCCTATAGAATTTAGGGACACCTTATTACCAACAAGAAGAACTGGGAACAGAGCACATCCTAAAGGCTTGGTGTCCCTGAGTTGACATCCTTTTAGACCCAGAAGAAAGAGTGAACACTGAAGACAGTGAAAGACAGCAGTGGTAGGCCTCCCTGGGCCCACAGAGCAAGAGCTGAGCATCTTCAGGCAGAGGGCTTGCCAGTGAAGCTAAAAGAGTTCTAATGCTTGCCTGTGCAGGGCGGAGGCCTGACTGTGCCCGGTTCAGGAGTTACCTCGGAGGATCCTTTGTAGAGATCTTCCTATGGTAGGGTGGATCCAGACACCTCTGGGCAGAAAGCTTGCCAGTGGAGGTAAAAGTTGTAATGCTTGTACAGAGCAAGAGGGCCCAGAGTGTGCCCTATGCACGGTTTGCTTGCTTCCCCGTCCCTGGGCAGCAGGGGCTCGGAGCAGCAGCAAGAGAGCTCGTCAGGCCTGGGTCGTATGGCAGGAACTGGTGGCAGAGGCTTAGAAGGGCCTAGCATCAGATGGTTGGAAGATCCTGTACCGGGGTCTTCCAGCCAGCATGGCCTGGTGAGGCCCAGCGGCAGAGTGGAAGCCACCAGCAGGATCATGGTAACCAGAGGCAGTGGTGATACGAACATAGCATCTGACATAAGACTTGAACCACAGCGTGCCTGCCCAGTGACTTAAGAATACACATAGGTCATTGGGGGTAAGCTACTCTTCTTTCCAGAATCTGTTGGCATTGTTTGCTTTCTATAAATAGAAATATTTATATTTTCTGTAAATATAAACATTTTCTATAAATCAGCTTTCACTTTGCCAACTCTGTTTCTTATGTGTCCAGCTGGACCACAGATAAATGTAGCACCCATAATGTGGCTGATGCTAGTGGGTGTACATGCCTCATTCCTAGCAGTCTAATGGCTGCCTGGAGGTTTGAGGCACAGCCTGTGTACATGTGTGGTGCAGATAGACATGTTCCAACAGTGCCCTTTCCCCCATCCTCCACCTTTCTCCCTTCTAGCACTCTACTATCTAATCACATTTTACCCTCTGGGACTCAGTCCTTCCTTGTGTGAGTGGTGGGGGCTCCTGCTGGAGTCCTCTCCCTGTCTCTCATAGTTTCCTTTTATCCAAGGCAGTACCGCATATCTGAAGAGGAGTTATCACAGCGAAACAGCTTATTTACTCTTCTCACTGGTGATACTGAGAACTACTGATCCATTTATTCCAGTCTCTTGTCCTGGCACAGCCACATCCCCAGACTAGAGTTGCATGAATGGATGAGATTGCCAGATGCCTGTAGTGAAAATAAGAGAACTAGAGGGTATGTGGAGGGAGCACCCTAGAAAATTTCTCAGTGGATAAATACAACTGGGAGGCAAGCCAAGAAGCCAGGAGAAGCACTGGCTGGTCCTGTGTTGGGCTAGGTGCTCCCCTTTCTATTCTTCCTCATCAGCATCATAGTGGCCCACTTTTATGGATCACTTATCTAAGGGATCTGACTGCTAAGCAGAAGTTTGGTGGTTCAAACCCACCAGCCACTCTGCGGAAGGAAGACAGGGCAATCTACTTCCATAAAGATTTACTGCCTTAGAAACTCAATGGAGGTCACTGAGTTGGAATCAACTCATTGGCAATGGGTTTTTACTTCGTGCTAGGCACTATCCTAAGCAGTTTATATATTTTATCTTGTTTTATCATAACAACAAACCTTTGAGTGTAAATACTATTAGTATCCCCATTTTAAGATAGACAAATGGAGGTGAAGAGAAGTTAAGGTCAAACAGCCAGGAAGTGGTGGTTTGGATCTGAACTCAGACTATCTGGGTCTAGAATTACCAAGTCACATTAATACATGAAGGATGAGTTAAATGCTGTAACAGCAGGAGGCATACAGGGCTGCAGAAGCAAAGGGAAGGAGAACACAACTCTGCCTGGCAGAGAGTAGGGTGGCTGAGGCCTCTAATGGGACTTTATGGAAGAGGTGACTCCTGAGCTGGGTCTGGAAGACGAGTAGAAGCTCCCCAGTAGATAATCATTGTTATTAGTTGCCAAGAGTCTATTCTGACTCGTGACCCCATGTTTGCAGAGCAGAACTCCATAGGGTCTTCAAGGGCCCTTCAGAAGCAGATTGCCAGGCCTGTCTTCCGAGGGACCTTCAGGTAGTTTCGAACCTACCTCCAAGTGGCCAGTAGTTGATATGGACTGGGAATTAGAAGGTGGACTGAAGGAGCAATAAATGTGAAGAAACAAGGTGTGTGAGATTTTGGTGCCTTTGAGGTAATGAAAGAAGTTCAGATATAGCCAAGAAATAGTGTCTCTAACTTCACACCATACTCAAAATATACTAGATGGTTAAAAGCCAAATGCAAAAAGAAAAAAATAATCCATAAGGAAAAATACAGAAGAATAGTTGTTTCATAAAAGTGAGTGTTGAAGATTTTCCTAAGCAAGACAAAACTGAGAAACTGTAATGGGAAAAATTGGGATATTTGACTACTTACAAATTCAAACCTTCTGTGTGATGAAAGGGAGCTCTGGTGATGTAGTGCCTAAGGCATTTGACTGCTAACCAGAAAGCTGGTGGTTCAAACCCACCAGCCACTCCTCGGAAGGAAGGTTGGGCAATGTACTTTCATAGTGATATTGCCTCGGAAACCCAAAGAGGGGTCGCTATGAGTTGGATCCCACTCGATGGCAGTGTTGTGTTTTTTTTGTGTGTGTAATGAAAAATGTAAGCAGAGTTAAAAAGCAAATGTGGCAGAAACTTCAAGTTGTCTATTGAAAAATCTGCATTTTTAAAATTTCTTAGTTCATATTTTTTAGTAACAGACCAAAAAACAAACCCTTCACCAATGAGTCAGTTTTGCCTTATTATGAACTCTTATATTATAGAGTATAACTGCACCATAGGATTTTCTTGGCTGTAATCTTATAGAAGCAGATCACTGGCCTTTCTTCCACATTACTGCTGAGTGGGTTTGAACAGAGGCCCTACATTAGTTACAGTAACAATTGGCTAAATACTACATTTCCCAGGCTCCCTTGTGGCTAAGTCCTTCCATTCAAATGAGGTGAGTCACATTACTGACATTCCCATTTTACAGAAAAGGGAACAGAGCTCAAGATGTTAAGTGACACACCCAAGACTTACTGTTGTTGTTGTTATATGCCATCGAGTCGGCCCCGACTCATAGTGACCCCTCCTTGGGTTTCCGAGGCAGTATCACTAGGGAAGTAGGATTGCCCAACCTTCCTTCCGAGGAGTGGCTGGTGGGTTTGAACCGTCAGCCTTCTGGTTAGCAGTCAAGTGCCTTAGCCACTATGCTACCAGAGCTCCCCAAGACTTACTAATGACTAGTAAAGCAAACTCAGGCAGTCTGTCATCAGCAACCTTTATTCAATCAATATACAATATTTGCAGTCACTGGGTGGTGCAAACGGTAAACACGCTTGTCTGCTAACCAAAAGGTTGGAGGTTCAAAGCCTCCCAAAGACACCTCAGGAAAAAAAAAAAAAAAATCACCCATTGAAAACCCTGTGGAGCACAGTTCTACTCTGACACACATGGATTTTCCACGAATCAGAATAGACTCAATGGCAACTGTTTTTGGTTTATACAGTATTCATTATGTACCAGGCACTGTTCTAAGTGCTTTGCAAATATTACTTAATTTAATCCTCATAACAACCTTATGAGATAGATACTGTAATAACCCTATTTACAATGAGGAAACTGATTCATGAGAGAGCATAGTAACTTACCCAATGTCACACAGCTGGTAAGTGGTAACCAGAATTCAAAGTCAGGTAGTCTGGCTCCATATTCTGTTGTCTACATGACCTCTGTGCTTCTTAGTGTTTATTAAATGAAGGTGCCATGCTTACCAAGGGCTCTGAGTCCCATCCAATTTCCTGGCTTTCAGTTTGTGTCTCTGGGTATTTCTTCCTTGGTTCTTGGGCAGCGTCGTGAATGAGATTCAGAAACCTGGCTGGAAGATGAGGCTTGGGTTATGAAGGAGTCTGGCTTTGGGACCAACGTGTTCCTGTGCCTTTTCCTCTGGCCACATTGCTTCTTAGAGGCAGAGCACCCAGGCTCAGAGGACTGTCTAGGCCTTGAGACAGGGATGTCTGGTTCCTTTGTTCATCTTTTGATAAATACTTGTTGAGCACACATTGTGATGGGCATAGTTTTGGGCTCTGGGAGTAGAGCACTGAACAAGCTAGATATGGTCCCTGCTCTCCTGGAGCTCATAATCTAGGTGGGGAGACAGGAGGCAGTGTACAGATAAACTCAACAGTTGCAGATGGTGATACTTGCTGTGAAGACAGGATTAGTTGAAGAGGCCTGTGAAGGCGGGCAGCTGCTTTAGATGGGTAGTAGAAGCAGCCTCTCTGGAGGCCAAGCAGGAGCCAGCCCTAGGAAGAACTAGAAGAAGACCACGGCAGGCAGCAAGAAAAAGGCCCTGAGGCATGAACAAATTGGGGTGTAGTAGCTGAGGCAGAGAGTGAGAAGGAGGGTGGTAAGAAGTGAGATTAAATCTTTCCGTATCAAAATAAGTTAACATCAGATATTTTTCTAATTCCAGTTTCAAGAACTTAAAAATGTTTCCCATTAAGTTCTATTAATTTGAGAGAAGCCATTTGGCAATGAAAATAACCTGGGATTTAGAGTCAGGCAATCCTGGCCATGCCATTGTTAATTTGTCAAGTTGTTTAAATTCCCTGGGCCATACTTCGCTCATCTCTAAAATAGGAGGAAAGTACTTATCTCAGCAAAATGTGGGAATGGGATGAAGGAATGTAAATAAAGGGCATAGCATCAGGTTGGACTCATCCTTGATACCTGGCTTTCAAGACCCTCACCTCCTGTTATTTTCTTTATTGCCATAAGTCACTGATGCCCATCTTTCACTCTAGCTAGGCTGGTCTCCTCCCACAGATAACAACCTTACTTCCTTTGATTATGCTCTACCCATTAGCTTATTAAGTCTCTAGGTGACAGAAACGATTAAGCACTTGACCACTACTGAAAGGTTGGCAGTTCGAACTCACCTAGTGATGCCTGGGAAGACAGGTCTGGTGATCTGCTTCTGAAAGGTCTTGATCTGCCTTGAAAACCCTGTGAGTAATTCTACTCTGCACATGAGTTGGAACTGACTTGATGGCAACTAACAACATTAGTTTACTTACTTGTCTGTCTTTACTATGCTATGAGGTCCTCCACTCCCTCTCCCCACTTCCCACCCCATCCTCCTATATAAACCCTTCAGCCTTCCTCCAGCAAGTTCTAATCTAGGAAGGGTAGGGAGGAAGAGGGATTCCCAGCAGATATCTCTCTTCCCTCATTCCCACACACAGCCCCTCTTCACCTATATACCGTGGCCATGCCAAACTGCTTGCAGTTCTCAGACCATGCTAGTGTCTCTCACTTCTGTGCCTTTCCATATACTCTGAATGTCCTTGCATAGTCTTCTCCATATTCCACCTCATCCTGTCATCACCTCTTCTAAGACCTCCCAGAACTCTCCTGCCTGAGGTGGTGCTTGTTTTCTGTGATGTTGCCACACCAATCTTGCTTTCTCTATTAGTCCACTTACTTGTCTGTTTCCTTCACTGTGCTGTGGGGTTCTCATCTCACTTCCAGCCCTGGTCACAATGACTATAACATGGTAATAATGAAAATAATACAGGTTTTCCCTGCTCTCCAAAAGCAGAATGTTCCTATAAAACCTTTCATAAGCAGAATGGTGTAAAGCAAAGAAGCAATTGCCATTAATTTATATGGGAAAATGTTTTGAATGTTCCTAGACAGGCCCCCCCCCCAATACCCTACCAAATCATACCAAATGACACACAAAACCTGGAATAACACTAACATGCAGTATTCACAGACACATTCAAAGCTACAGGCTGAGATGCCAAGTGTAGTTCCTGGGGAAGGAATATGGGGATGCTACTGTCATTGCTTGGGGTGTGGCTGCCTCTTTAACAGCTTGCTGTAAAACAAATGCTGAACACTAATTTCGCTATTCATCTTTTTTTATTCAGAAAAAAAATTCTCTTCACATTTTTTTCAGTTAGTAAAAACATGCACTAATGTAGGTCTTTCATAAAAGTGAAGTGGCATAAAGCAGACTGTGGTGGTTATGTTTTTGTGTCAACTTGGCTGGGCCTGGTTGAGTGGCTGGGCAGCTGGTGGTAGTTATTCCCCATGATGAGCCTGGCAATCAACTCCATGGTGGGATCTACCATAAGCAGCTGAGTAACTGCTTTGGGGATGTGGTCTGCTTTCTACATTTAAGGAGAAGCCTTGGGAATGGTCTCTAGCCTATGGCACGCTTGGACCCTGCATATAGCCATGTCGTTGCTCAGCAGCCTACTATGCTCTGCCAACCTTGGGACTTACAGTGGATTTAAGTCAATGGCCTGCCATGTGGATTGGTAACATCGGGACTGTGCCTTTTTACTTGTCAACCTTGGGGCTTCTCAGCCTCAGCAGCCAGCAACTGAGTGAAGAAATGCCTCTAGCTCCAGCAGGCTGGGAGCAGGAGGCAGAGCTGGACCCCAAGGTTGAGGGGCTTTCACCCAGCCCCTAGAGCCTGGCACTTTGAACTTGGACTTAAAGCCTCCAAACTGTAAGAGAATAAACTCCTGTTTGTTCAAGCCATCCCATTTGTGGTATATTCTTGTCAGAGCAGCACTACGTAACCAGAACACAGACTATCCAAAAGCAGGGGGATAATAATGAATGCTTGTTGAGCACAATGTACCAGATGCTGTTCTAAGCACTTGTATTATTTCATTTAATCCTCACAAAAATCCTAAGAGTTAGCTTCCCCCAAAAATAAAAACTCCAAATTCTGTGCCATTGAGTCGATTCCAACTCATAGTGACCCCCTTTGGGTTTCTGAGGCAGTACATCTTTACAGAAGTAGACTGCCCAGTTTTTCCTCTGCTGAGCGGCTGGTGGGTTTGTGCTGCCAACCTTCTGGTAAGCAGTCAGATGCTTTAGGCACTGTGCTACCAGAGCTCCTTAAGAGTTAGCTTCCAAAAAACACCACCAAACTCACTGCCATTGAGTTGGATCCAACTCATATCAACCCCTCCTTGGGTTTCTGAGGCAGTATCACTACGGAAGTAGATTGCCCGACCTTCCTGCCGAGGAGTGGCTGGTGGGTTTGAACTGCCAGCCTTCTGGTTAGCAGACAAATGCCTTAGGCACTATGCCACCAGAGCTGCTAAGAGTTAGCTTAGAGGTTAAATAACTTTTCCAGTCACATGGTTAATAAGTGGCAGAGACAAGATTTGAACTCAAATGGTATGACTCCAAGGACTCTGGTGGTGCAGTGGTTAAAGCATTTGTCTGCCAACCAAAAGGTCCGTAGAGTGAACTTACCAGCTGCTCTGTGGGAGAGAGATAAGGCAGTCTGCTTCTGTAAAGATTTACAGCCTTGGAAACCCTATAGGGCACTTCTACTCTGTCCAAAAAAGGGAGTTCTGATAGCATAGTGCCGAAGGCACTTGACTGGTAACCAGAAGGCCGGCCACTCCTCAGAAGGAAGGTTAGGCAATCTACTTCTATAGTGATAACACCTCAGAAACCCAAGGAGGGGTCGCTCTGAGTTGGGTCCAACTCGATGGCACATAACAACAACAACAACTAAGTCAGAATTGACTCAATGGCAGTGGGTTGGTTGATTTTGGTTGTAGTATGATTCCAAAACCCTCCCTTATACTCACTGAATTCTTGGTTATGAATGAATGATGAAGGAAGGCACTGTTGAGACCATTAGAAATACTTTTTGTTGGCTTGACAGTTAATAAATTGACATTATAGTTAATTATGTCAGTCTCTTGTGAGCTTGCTTAGTATAAGTCTGGTTCCCAGACAATCAAAAGCACAGGACTCTGATGCTTGCCCCAAGGTAGCACTACCCTGAGGATTCTCCAGGCAGCTTGCCTCTCTACACTGTATCTCAAAGGTGTTTTCAAACCCCAAGACTTACCATCTGCAGGTTCCTCCAGGTTATCATGCCAAGACATGGGCTTTCTGGCGATTGTGTGAACTAGAGAAAAACAGGATCAAAAGTTTACATTAAAACACTAACTCCCAGCCCTCTCTAAGAGGCCAAGCACCCATGTAAGCACTTACTGAGTATCCACCACATCTTAGGTATTGTACTGGGCAATAGGAAACAAAGTTGAATAAGGCTCTCAAGGAGTTCACACTTTAGAGTGATGCTGTCCAGATGTGGTCACCACCCACATCTGGCTATTTGAACTAAAAAACTAAAATTAAATATAGTTACAAATTAATTCCTCAGTCACACTAGCCACATTTAAAGTGCTCAATAGCCACAGTTTGGGACAGCAGAGATATATAACATTTTCATACTTGCAGAACATTCTATTGGGTGGTGCTGATCTCAGGGAGGGCAAACGTGTCAGACAGTCTAATGAGGTTAGTCAGATGCCTAACCAGGAGGCCATGCGATCAGAGAGGAGCAGTATCCATATTAATTCATTCACTCATTCGTTCAGCTTATAATTACTGGTGCACTGCAGATACATTCATGAACTTCAGAGAACAATTCCCATACTCGTTGAGATTCCATTCTATTTGTGGTGACAGACAATAAGGCAACATATAATATCTGGCAAATATAAGGTATAATATAAGATGAAGAACAATCAAGAAGAATAAGTGGATAGAGAATTGATGGCGGGGCAGGATGTGGATGATGTATCACCGAGATACATTTGAGTAGAGTCCTGAATAAAGTGAGGAAATGAGCCATGTGAGTATCTGTGGGAGGAATATGAGCGTGTGCCTGCTGAGTTTGAGCAGCATCAAGGAGGTCAGAGGAGCTCAAGTGAAGAAGATGGATGGAGAGAGTAGTAAGAAATGACAGGAAGTCAGTAGAAACCAGTGTTTCAAAGGAGAGCAGACAGGAGTCAGACAAATCAAGGCAGGTCTTCCTGGACTGTGGGAGTGAGGATGGAGAAAGAAGCAGATTCATAGGCTGTTTAGAGGATAGACTTAAGAGGTCTTGGTGAATAGATATGGAGATGCCTCCACATGCATGATGAAATCTTTCACTGAGGTAGGAACATGGAAAGAGCTAGGTGAGAGAGATGTCGAGGAATAAAAAGGACTTGGTGACTACTGAGAAGTGTGGAGTGAGGAGGAGAGAGATGTCAAGGATCATGTCTAGGCTTCTAATTGGGAAAGCAAGTGGTTGTGGTGCCTTTTACAGAGACAAGATATTTTAGACTAGCAGCAAGGGTGTGAAATAAATAAAATTTTCAAACTGGTGAGTTTGAGGTGTCGATGGGTTGTTAAGGGGAAGGTACTGGGAGGTGGTTGGATGTGTGGGCTTTGAGTTCTGTTTGAGACTCAATGCATTTAAGATGAGCTAATGTTACAGAACCAGATGAAACCCTCCAAGGATTGTGCAAAGTGAGAAGAGCGGGGGGGGGGGGGAGGGCCATTTTATCAAGGGAATGTGAGCCTGGGGTCTCTTACCTCTGAGCTTTCTGAAGGCCTAAGACAATATTGAAAACTTAATTTTTTTTTTTTTTAGCTTAAAAAAGGAAAATCAAAATAACAAAATACCCCCTGCAAAATATGAATTATTTCAAAAGCAAAATTATAAAGAGCCTTTCGACTTTTTTTACAACAGAAATATCATTTAATCATGACCTAGGTGCATTTTAATATATTTAATATATTTGATGTGATGAGTGGTGAGGTCCCCCACAGTCATAGTTCCTGAAGCCTTGTTGTTGTTGTTGTTATGTGCCCTCGAGTCAAACCCGACTCATAGCGACCCCTCCTTGGGTTTCCGAGGCAGTATCACTACGGAAGTAGGATTGCCCAACCTTCCTTCCAAGGAGTGGCTGATGGGTTTGAACCGCCAGCCTTCTGGTTAGCAGGCAAGTGTCTTAGCCACTATGCTACCAGAGCTCTCTCCTGAAGCCTAAGAGGGTCTTAAAATTGCAGGAGCTCAAGAGTGACCCAAGCGCGCGATGGGGGGTGGTTCAGGGAAGGCATCCCCTTTGCTCCCCAACACCCTCACCCCATTCCCAGGCCGCTCCTTCTTCCTCTGCTCCCTCCCTCCTCTTTCCCCCTCCTCCATCCTGACAGTCGCTCACCCTTTCGGAGGGGATTCACATGATACTGCGTGTAGAGTTTCTGGGTTCGTAACTCTCTGAGGTATAATTCGCGCAAGATCTGGTTCTGATGGACCTCATCTGGGACCACCTTCTCCCTTTGATGTCCCGCCATGGCTCTGGCGGAGCTGGCTCTGGCTCTTTCTTACAGCCCTTTGGCCGGCCGCTCACCCAGTCCCAGACTTCCAGCGGGCTCCAGGTAACAGCGTCCCACGCTGTCTCTAGGCAACATCGCCCTACACGACCCTCCTCCGGACTGCGCATCCCCCAGTTCCGACCTATCCTCTCCCTCCTCCCCACCCCCAGCCAGTCTTATTTTGCTGCCGCCTCTTGTTCCGCTCCCCATCCACCCTCCTCAGCTTCTCAGGACCTAAGTGTGGTTACTAGGACCAGCCCTGGATACTTCCAGTAAAGGATTCGCTGTCAGGTGGCAGATCCATGAGATAATGGAGTTCAGATCGGACCTCACCTTGACCAGTCATTTCATAAGAAGACTTTGAAAGGAATTAGGCACCTCTCTCACTTTAAAGCAGATGTCCAGAATAAAAACCATCTATGTCTATCCCACACAGAAGCAGAAGTTTCATACCTGAGAAGACATAATGGTGGAAACCAATGGAATGATATGGCCACAGTAACCCTTTCCTAACCTAAATCATTTGATGTATTTATAACTAATTTTAAAGGAACCAAAAAAAAAAAAAAAATCCTTGTTGTTAGATGTCTGGAGTCCATTCAGACTCACAGGGACCCTATGTATAACAGAATTAAACACTGCCTGGTCCTGCATCATCCTCACAATGGTTGCCATGCTTGAGCCTACCATCTCAGGAACTGTGTCAATCCATCTCCTGGGGGAGCTCCCCTTTTTTGTCTGACCCTCTACTTTATCAAGCATTATATCCTTCTTCAGAGACTTGTCTCTCCTGAGGTATGTTGATCAAAGCATGAGAGACGAATTCCGGCCATTCTCACTTCTAGAGAGCATCCTGGCTATATATAGTTCCTCCAAGACAGATTTGTGCATTCTCCAGCAGTCTATGGTACATACAATATTCTTCACCAATACCACACTTCAAATGCATTGATTCTCCTGAGGTCATCCTTACCAGCTCTCACATGCATTCATGCATTGAAAATAAATACCAAGGCTTGGGTCAGGAGCACCTTAGTCTTCAAAGTGACATCTTTGCTCTTAAACACCTTAAAGAGGTCTTTTGCAGCAGATATGCCCAGTGCAATATATCATCTGATTCCTTCGCTGCTGCTTCTGTGGGCATTGAATGCAGATCCAAGTAAAATGAAATCACTGACAACCTCAATCTTTTCTCCATTTATCATGATGTTGCTCATTGGTTGTGAGTATTTTTCTTTTCTTTACTTTGAGGGGTAATCCATACTGTGAGTTGTAGTCTTTGATCTTCAGTAAGTAGTTCAAGTCCTCTTGGGTTTCAACAAGCAAGGTTGTGTCATCTGTGTATCGCAAGTTGTTAATGAATCTTCCTCCAATCCTGGTATTGCATTTTTCTTCATATAATCCAGATTCTTGGATATGTGCTCATTGTACAGGTTGAATAAGCATGGTAAAATGATATAGCCCTGATGCACACTTTTCCTGATTTTAAACCCTTTGCTGTGTTTTGATGACTGTCTCTTGGTCTATATAGATTCCTCATAAGTGCAATGAAATGTTTTGGAATTCCCATTCTTTGCAATGTTATCCATATTTTGTTATGATTCACACATAGTCAATAAAACACAAGTAAACATCTTTCTGGTATTCTTTGCTTTCATCCAGGATCCATCTGACATGAGCAATGGTATTTCTTGTTCCATGTCCTCTTCTGAATCTGGCTTAAATTTCTGGAAGTTCTCCATCAATACTCTGCTGCAATCAGTTTTGAATTATCTTTAGCAAAATTTTACTTGCTTGTGATATTAATAATATTGTTTGATAATTTCCACATTCTATTTGATCACCTTTCTTTGGAATGATACAAATATGGATCCCTTCCAGTCAGTTGGCCAAGTAGCTGTCTTCCAGATTTCTTGGCATAAATGAGTGAGTGCTCATTTGTGAGTGCTGCATCTGATGATTAAAACATCTTAATGGTATTCTCTCAATTCCTGGAGACTTTTTTTTTTTTTTTTTTGCCAATTCCTTCAGTGGAGCTTTGACTTTTTCCTTCAGTATCATTGGTTCTTGATCATATGCAACCTCCTGAGATCATTGAATGTTAACAATTTTTCTGGTACACTGACTCTGTATTCCCCCTATCTTCTTTTGATGCTTCCTGCATAGTGTAATATTTTGCCCATAGAATCTTTCAATATTGCAATTCAAGCCTTGAATACTTTTTCTTCAGTTCTTTTAGCCTGAGAAATGTCAGCATGTTCTTCCCCTTTGATTTTCTAACTCCAGGTCTTTGCAAATTTCATTATAATTCTTTACTTTGTCCACTTGAGCTGCCCTTTGGAATCCGTTCAGCTCTTTTGCTTCATCATTTCTTCCATTTGCTTTAGCTATTCTGTGTTCAAGAGCAAATTTGAGTCTCTCCTGACATCCATTTTGATCTTCTCTTCCTTTCCTGTCATTTTAATGACCTTTTGCTTTCTTCATGTGTTATGTCTGTGATGTCATTCCACAACTCATCTGGTGTTCGTTCAGTCACTCATGTTCAATATGTCAAATCTATTCTTCAGATTGTGTCTAAATTCAGGTGGGATATACTTAAGGTCATGTTTTGGCTCTCATGGACTTGTTTTCATTTTCTTCAGGTTAAACTGACTTACATATAAGCCATTGATGGTCAGTTCCATTTGGTCTCTGGCCTTGTTCTAACTGATGATACTGAGCTTCTCCATCATCTCTTTCCACAGATGTAATTGATTTGATTCCTTTGTATTCTACCTGGCAAGGTCCATATGTATAGTTGTCATTTATGTTGTTGAAAAAAGGCATTTGCACTAAGTTGTTGATCTTACAAAATTCTATAATGCAGTCCCTGGTACCATATTTTCCAACTACTGATGATTCTTCTTTGTTTCCAACTTTTGATTCCAATCATCATTAATTAGCAATATATCTTGATGGCATGTTTGGTCAATTTCAGACTGCAGATATTGGTAAAAATCTTTAATTTCTTCATCTTTGGTGTTAGTGGTTGGTGTGTAAATTTGAATAGTAGTATTAACTGGTCTTCCTTGTAGGAATATGGATATTATCCTATCACTGACAGCATTGTACTTCAAGATAGATCCCAAAATGCTTTTTGATGATGAATGCAATGCCATTCCTCTTCAATTTGGCATTCCTAGTATAGTAGACCATACGATCACTTGATTCAAAATGGCAAATAGTAGTCCATTTTAGCTCACTAATGCCTAGGATAAAAATAGCCCTAGCATAGAGAAAGTTGCCACCCCTGAATGCCACCCCTGAATTTAGTAAGTCTGTGCTCTTCCTTACTGTCTTTCTTTCCTTCTTTTCATTCTCTTCCCTCCTCCTTCTTTTTCTCCCTCTCCGTCTGCTTCCTTCCCTCCCTTCCTTTCACACACAGTGTATTTTAGGATGTGTTTATGTTTTGGGAACATATTGGTTGTAGAGTTTCCTGAACCCAGCAAGGTATTTCACGATCCCTTGCTTTACCTTTTAGGAGTCCTTGGGTGGTAGAACAAGTTAACACACTTGGCTGCTAAGCATGAGGTTGGAAGATTGAGTGTATCCAGAGCCATCTCAGTAGAAAGTCCTGCTGATGTGCTCCAGAAAACTCAGCAATTGAAAACTCTTTGAAGCATAGTTCTACTCTGACATACATGGGGTCACCCTGAATCAGAACGACTCCATGGCAACAGATGCTTTAGCTCATGTTACCCTTTGGCCTAGGAAAACTAAGGTGTGCCTAACTCAAGCCATGGTATTTTCAGTCACCTCATATGCATGTGAAAGTGGACAATGAATAAGGAAGACTGAAGAAGAGTTGTTGTTGTTGTTGTTATTTGCCATTGAGTCGGCCCCGACTCATAGCGACCCCTCCTTGGGTTTCCGAGGCAGTATCATTACGGAAGTAGGAATGCCCAACCTTCCTTCTGAGGAGTGGCTGGTGGGTTTTGGTGCCTTTGAATTGTGGTGTTGGTGAAGAATACTGAAAATAATATAGACTATCAGAAGAATGAACAAATCTGTCCTAGAAGAATGCAGCCAAAATGCTCCTTGGAAGCAAGAATGGCCAGACTTGGTCTCATCTACTTTGGTCATGCTGTCAGTAGGGACCATTCGCTGGAGAAGGATATCATGCTTGCTAAAGTAGAAGGTCAGCCAAAAAAAGAAGACCCTCAAGGAGATGAATTGACACAGAGGCTGCAACAAGGGACCTAAGCATAGCAAGGATTGTGAGGATGGCGCAGGACCAGGCAGTTTTTCGATCTGTTGTACATAGGATCACTATGAGTCAGAGCTGACTCACCAGCACCTAACAAGAATAGCTCCTTTGCCTGGAAGGTTCTTTTTCCCCTTGTCTGTCTAGGGGAGCACCTATCCAATGTTTGTAATGAGCTCAGATGCAATCTTCTTCAAAACCCTTTTCTGACCCTATAATCCCAAATCCAATTTTCCTCTGTGCCTATGTTGTTGTTAGGTGCTGACAAGTTGGTTCTGACCTAAAGAGACGCTGTGTACAACAGAACAAAACGCTGCCTAGTCCTGTGCCATCCTCATAATTATTGTTATATTTGAGCCCATTGTTGCAACTACTGTGTCAATCCACCTCTTTGAAGGTCTTCCTCTTTTTTTTTTTTTTTTTTTTACTGACCTTCTACTTTACTGAACATGATGACTTTCTTCAGGGATTGGTCCCCCCAATACATGTTCAGTGTATGTGACATGAAGTCTCGCCATTCTTGCTTCTAAGGAACATTCTGGCTATACTTCTTCCAATGCAGATATCTTTGTTCTTCTGGAAGTCCATGGCATATTCAGTATTCTTTACCAACATCATAACTCAAAGGCATTAATTCTTCTTCAGTCTTCTTCATTCATTGTCCAGCTTTTGCAACCAACAACAGCATCATCAAGCAATTTGACCTAATAAACACACTTGACCCTAAGAGCAGGATGCA